AAACATTGTGTATTTGTGAAGTAACATATAAACTGAAATTCAAATGTTTGAATTTAATTTTCATGACCTCAGTATTTTGGGTTATAAGCCATAATGTCATATAAGAATAAAGTGTCACTGCTGATATTTGGGTTTGAACATGGATTGCCAGAGAGCAAGCACAGTTGACCTCATCTTGAAATAATTAGATCACATGATGAGTAAAGGAAAAATATATATATGGAAATTAGCGGCATCTGACTGAGTATTGTTTGAAGGCGTTACTATTATTGTATCTGTAATTTACAAAGTCTCTCCTACAAACAGGCATTAAAAACATCATTTTAAAAAGCACTTGACTAGACCCAAGAATATGAGAAAGAAATTTACCTAAGCATTAACATTTCTGCAAATAAAGTCTCTTTAACTACATTTAATAATCATTTAATTTCGTCTGTAGGAAAGAGATTGTAGGGTGGAAAATAATTCATCACCCACATTTGGACTCTATCATGTCTGGAAAGTGAAGACTGAGCAGCTCCTACCCAAATATGGCAGCAGTACTCCATTTTTGACCTGATCTGGCTTTTGCAAAGGTAGAGGATTGTATAGGGTGTCAAGGTATATACTGGAGTGGTACAGAGAACCAACCATTTTTCCAACATCTTTAGTGATAGATCGTATGTACAAGTTCCACTTGAGGTTTCAGTTGAGTTTAACTCCTAAAAGACACAGGGCCTCTCTGAGGGAACACCTATTCATTTCAAAACAGAAAAAGTTCTGTATTCTGTTCAAAACAAATTTAGAATAGTTCTGTTATTTGGGGTTTAATTATTTTATGTTTTTTTAATTGAGTTTTAATTGTTTTTATGGACTTTTATATCTACATATTATATTTATCTATTCATTCTGATTTATTTAGACTAACATCCTCATTGTTGCTGATTTTTATGACAATGTTTTCACTGGCACATTCTTTGATCTTCCTCAGGTGAATGATACATTCAGTATATCTGTCTATATTTCTGAGATGAGGTTTTGTAACTATTTACATTATTTACCTTGTTCAAACTGTTGTCCTCATCTTTATTGTCCTATTTCAGTGTTTGTACGCTCTGGGCATATTCAGGTGATATACGTTAGCATTTTGAACCAAACCCTTTATTTAGTCCACTGGGGTAGATTGTTCTAGTTCTACATGCCATGCCTTTTCTAGATATCTTAGTTTCAGTTATCTTCCTTCAGTAACTCAACTCTCCAATTATTTTTACTAGGAAAGAAACTAAAAAAAAAAAAAAATGACCTTGAGAAGCCTATTTTGCAAAAAACTGTTAAGATTTTATAAATTGCAATTGAGTAACTGAAACTGAGGTATCCAGAAAAGGCATGACATGTAGAACTAGAAAAATCTACCCCAGTGGATGAAATAAAGGGTTCAGTTTGAAATTCTAATGTATATTACCTGAAGAAGGCTGGAGCGTACAAGGGCCGAAATGTTGTGAATATGACAATAAAGATGAGGACAACAGTCTGAACAATGTAAATAGTGTAAATACCAAATGATTACTAATAATATGGAAATTTTTAATAACATTTTTCTCCTTACTGTAAAATGTCTGAACACAGTTCAAATCTGAGTTATGGTATTTTCAAATACCTAAAATTATGTTTCTTCTGATTCCACTTTTCCTGTATTTTTTTTTTTTAAATCATTTTCCTGCTCAACTTTTCCTTGTTGAGATTTACAAGTCTTCTGTTGACAGTGAAACCAAAATTGTAAAACAATCATTTTTTATTTTCTACTCACCCCTAGCCATACACTAACCATTCCTCATTCCTGAAATTTAGGGCTTAGTTACCCACACTCTCATTTCTTATAATATTAAGTCTCGATTACCCACCCTCACTTCTCTTGCAAGTTTAGGGCTTGGTTACCTACCCTATCTTCTTTCTCAAGTTTAGGGCTCGGTTACCCGCCCTCTCATCTCTTGCAAGTTTGAGGTTTGGTAAATTATGGAAAGGCTGAAGTATGATGATCAAAAATGATAAAACCTGATATAACCCATAAAGATTATGGTGAGATTAGAAGTTTCCATACACAAAACATTTGATATTCATTAACCAATGAGCATTACTGTCAGTTGAAATTTATAAAATCTTTTTATTAAAAGAGTTTTTCAGAAAATGAAACTTTTCATGTTCACTAATTACTATCATTCTTTCCAGTATTGATAGGAATTTCATCCAAAACTTTCTGTTTAAGGTCATGTGAAAAGTTAACATCTTGATCATGTCTTTATTTTCCTTTCTAGTTACTTGTGCTACATATTTTTATTGCTGCTGCCATTGGAAGTCTTCAAGTGGTGTAGTTTTTTTTGTTGTTTTTTTTAATTTAATTTATTTGGTAAATAAATAAATGAAACAAAATTGGTGAAAGAATCATATTTTCTTTTTCTAATTAGTCCTCTCCCTCATTCCTCAAGTTTAGGGCTCATTTATGCACTCTCCCCTCTCTTGTAATTTTAGGGCTTGTTTAACCACCCTTTCCTCTCTTGCAAGTTTAGGGCTCAGTTTAGCACCCTTTCCTCTCTTGCAAGTTTAGGGCTCAGTTTAGCACCCTTTCCTCTCTTGCAAGTTTAGGGCTCAGTTTAGCACCCTTTCCTCTCTTGCAAGTTTAGGGCTCAGTTTAGCACCCTTTCCTCTCTTGCAAGTTTAGGGCTCAGTTTATCACCCTTTCCTCTCTTGCAAGTTTAGGGCTCAGTTTATCACCCTTTCCTCTCTTGCAAGTTTAGGGCTCAGTTTACCACCCTTTTCTCTCTTGCAAGTTTAGGGCTCAGTTTATCACCCTTTCCTTTCTTGCAAACCTATGGTTCAATTGCCAAGTTCCAAGAGAAATAAATTTGTGATACTTTTTCAAAGATATTTTAGTCCATTTTTCTTTTCAAACCAAATCATGGACATTGCTTCTCTGTTCTTTTCTTATTTCAGATTTTTGGATCTTCATGTACCCCCTGCCACACACACACACATGTAATTCTTTGTTATATTTTTCTTTTCTTCTTTCTTTCTCACCCCTTTTACCCTATCCTTTTTATTTTGTTTGTTCTCTTCTTCCCATTTTCTTTTCTTTTTTCCCTTTCACATTTCAAACAGAGAAATATGCCTTTTTTATATTCTTTTTCATTCATTTTGCTTTTCTTTGCTGTTTTTCTTCTTTTTATTTTCTTTATTTTTTCTTTTTTGTTCTTTCTATTTTCTTTCTTTTTGTTCTTTGCTTTTTCTTCTTTTCATTTTTCTTTTTTATCTTTTGTGTCTCTATTTCTTTTTTCTTACTTTTTTGTTTTTTTACTTTTTCTTTTTTTTATACTTTTTTCTTTTTTTGCTCTCATTTCCATCACTTTTTCTTTACATTTTTCTTTCATGTTGTATTTCTTTTGCTTTATCTTTATTTTTCATGATGTTTTATTTCTCTTTTTATCATTCCTTAAATTTTTTCTGCTAAAAATCATTTCTAAATTTTTTCTTTTGTTATTTTTCTTCTTCCTTTTTTTGTTAAAACTTTTTCTTTTTTGTTGCTTTTCTGTCTCTTTGCATTTTCTAATATTTTTCTTTTGTCTTTTTGTTTTTTCTTTTCTCATTGAATTTCTAAATTTTCCATTATTTTTCTATCTTTGCCTTTTTGTTTCATTATTTTTTTCTTTTTGTTTTTGTCATTCTTTATTTTTTACTTTTCTCTCCATTTGTTTGCCTTTTGATCAACACAATTCAAAGACTGTTATTTCTTCCATAACAAGACTAAAAGACTCAAAATTAACAAAGACATTGTTTCATCTTATAAAATCATAGAACTTAATACATATAAAGATTCTTTTTGGTACTGACCATGACTCTCTTGTTTCAGCATTAGACAATGTAAACACTAAAATGGAAATTTAGTTATTTTATAAATTAATTGAATATTTTCAATAGAATCACATCATTAAAAGTAACTTTAATGTGAAATAATTATGATTGTATTCATAGCAGCCATGATTTATAAAAATTAGAAAAACTTTTTACAATTGACCATTCATTCAGATATCTGTACCAAATTTTTAGAGGAAAAATTTTTGTAAACAATTTATCTCTATTTTATGTAAAACTTCATTTTTGAGAAAGTATTTTTTTCTAAATGTATTTTCACAGTTCTGCTATATGTAGAGAACATTTTTTGAGAGTTTGTGGTCTTTGATTTCTATTCTAGTTAGGAAAAAAGGCAACATTTGACTTGAACTTGAAGTAGATAGGGATGGGTACCAAAGAATAGACTTTTTCTTCTTCAAGAATTCCTCCTGATAAGAAAATAAAATGGTGTCATTCTTTACTTTGAAGAGAAGGAAAGAAGGAATAAATGAACAAGAGAAAAGTACTGATGAATTAAAAGAAAAAAAGAAGAAAGAATTAAAGGAAAGAAAAATCTTTTTTAATCTTATCTTAATGGCTTTACTACCTTGCTTGAGGTGAATTTTCACCTCAAGCAAGGTAGTAAAGCCATTAAGACACAAGGGGTTACTAGGTGTGGAAGTATTAGAAAACAAAAACATTACTAAAGAGAATAATCAGGAAAACTGTGGATAGTGATTGACATTCCAAAAGTAAAGTTAACTGGAAAGCATGGAGCTGGAATGGAGTTCCACAAGTGAGAAGTGCAAGAAAAGAAACTCTGAGCATAGAAAATGCAGTTACATCTAGCCATTTCAACTGTAAAATGATGAGACCTTGCTGCAAATCGAGTACTGCACCTAAGGTCTAGGTACCTTAGCGAGGATGTCACCCAAACAATTACCATGATAGCATTTATAGAAAAGGCACAGGAAGGCAACTTTATGGCAATGGACATGAGACTGAAGCTGAGATGCCAGATCAGGACCAATAATATTGCTGATTTTAAGATGGATTTTATCAAAGATCTCTAGATATATAGCAGGAGCAGGAAAGATAAGAGAAAAGTTATGAAAAAATAAGAGAAAAAGTGGGAAAGATTAAGAAAGTAAAGTAACGAATGTCCAAAAAGAGGGAAAAGAAACGAATGTCCAAAAAGAGAGAAAAGAAACGAATGTCCAAAAAGAGAGAAAAGAAACGAATGTCCAAAAAGAGTTAAAAGAAACGAATGGCCAAAAAGAGAGAAAAGAAACGAATGGCCAAAGAGAGAGAAAAGAAACGAATGGCATAAAAGAAAAGAACAGAGTTAAAGAGATATATATAAACATACTTGGATTGATAAATATAAACAGACCAAAATAAAGATAAATATATAGATTAAAAAACCAGATAGATACAAACCTAGGGAAATTAATACACATTAAGAGATAGAGGTTGATAAATAGGAATTGGCTAAAGACAATAGAAATTGGCTGAACAAAGCAATAGATATATATGAATATACATGGACAGAGAGAGAAAGATAAACAGATGGATATGAACAGATTGATGGATAGATTGATAGATATGAACAGATATAGATAGACAGATAGATATGAATAGATATATAGATATAAACAGGTAGATTGATAGATATAGATATGAACAGATTGATAAATATGAACAGGTAGAGAGAGATAGACAGATAGATATGAATAGATATATAGATATAAACAGGTAGATTGATAGATATAGATAGATAGATATGAATAAATAGAGAGATATTAAGAGATAGCTAGATATGAACTTACATGATTAGAGAGAGATAAGGAAATAGGTAGATGTAACCAAACAGTTAGATAGATATAACCAAACATAGATAGATAAAAACAGACTGAGATAACCAGAAAGATAGATAGATAGATAGATACAAGCAGACTGAAATAGATATATAGGTCATTAATATGCCAGAACCAAAAACGGTAGTCAAAATACTACCATCATTGCCCCTCTCCCAATTACTCCATCAAATTCACAAATCCTCATCCTTGTGACCTCCCAGCTGTACCCCACCCTGAGAGAAATAAAAAGGAAAAGAAAAAAAGAAAATAACAAATTAAAAAAAAGGGATGCATGCAGCACTGAGTACAAATCAACAAGAAATAAAAAATGAAAAAAGAACAAGGAGTAGTTCTTTCTTTTATAAAACTAATGTTGACTGGTTAGTCTAGAGAATGTGGGTAATAGTGTAGGGTGGCACACAAGAGCACGTGTTGGTTGTTGGGGGCAGGGCATGCAACATTTAACATTCTACAGAGTTTTTTCACAGCTGGGTTTGGTATGTTAATGTGCAAAGTTTGTCCTTGAAAAAAATGGTAGTGAAAGAATATGAAAAATAATAGAGGAAAAAATGAAGAGGGAAAGAAAAGAAGAAAGGGACAGAGAAAAAAGAAAAGGAAATAAGAGAGAAAAAAAAGAGTTTATAGAGAGGTGGGAAGGAAAGAAAACATGAAATATAAAAGAAAGGGAGAGACAAGGGAAAAGAAGGAGTTTTAAAAAGTGAGATAAAGAAGGAAGAGAGAGAAAAAGGGGAAAGAAATACGAGAAAAGAGTTGATAGAGAGGTGGGAAAGAAGGAATAAATGAAATATGAAAGAAAGAGACAAGAGAAAAGAAAGAGAGAAAAAGAAAGGAGAGACAAGAAAGAGAGAAAAAGAAAGGAGAGAAAAGAAAGAGAGAAAAAGAAAGGAGAGAAAAGAAAGAGAGAAAAAGAAAGGAGAGAAAAGAAAGAGACAAGAGAAAAGAAAGAGACAAGAGAAAAGAAAAAGAGAAAAAGAAGGAGAGAAGAAAAATGAGGAAAGAGAAAAGGGTAGAGAAAGAAATAAAAAAGAGTAACAGTTTTGAGAAAAAGAAAGACAAATCTAAGAAAAAGAAAGAAATGAGAAGAAATGGAGGATTAAAAAGAAAAGTGGAGAAAATTGAGAAAGAGGAAAAAGGAAAAAACTAGAAATAAAAAGAAGAAAGTGTCAAGAGAAAAGGAGGAAGTGAAAGAAAGAAATAGGTGAAGAATGACAGAGATAGATGAGGAAAAAATATCAGAGACAGAGAGAAGGGGAAAAGAGAGAGAGAGAACTAAGAAAAGGTTTGAATCTGAAAAAGAAAGAGAGGTAAGAAAAACAGCAATAAATGTAAGAGAAGGAAGAGGAGAGATACAAAAAGAGAGAGAAAAAATAAAAGAAAACTTAAATGAAAAAGAGGAAGTACAGATTCAGTTGGGTTAAGATAAGTTTATATTCAGGGTTAGACTCACATATGCATGACCAAAGCACATGCCTGTTTGACCATGGATAAAAATTCCTCAGGAAAAGTACTTTTATGTAATTTGTTATTAAACAAGTACATGAAAACTTTCATTAACTACATATAAAGAAATTTCCGTATCTGAGTTTCAATCTAGCCAAAGCAACCATAGTATTAGAACACACACTGAAAGTGGTATCAAACCTCTACAGACAGCTTGGTCATCTGCCACAGAGAAGGAAACTCCAAAAGAAAACCTAATATTTCAGAACCTTACACCCATGTGAATTGTCTAACAAATATTGGCACAAGAACAGAAATCAGCAAGCTGAGTTCAAATTCCAACCTAGTCAGTTTCATTCACTTTTACACTTTTGCTCAGGAAAAGCATGAATCCATCTATTCCTCCCACCAGCTATGGGTTAAATAGGAAGGTAGACTTCTTAAATTTCAAACATGGAGGAAATAAGGCTGATTTGAATCTGTAAAAGAATTAAATTTGATGGTTAACCCACTAAGATTAACTATCCCCAAAATAGGATGGCAGACATTAATAGTTTATAAATAGAAACCAATTATACCATATTTTTAAGACCTATAATTAATGCCAGATATGGTAATCTATTTAATTAATACTGGATTTTTATTTCAAATTTTATAATTAATACTATATTTTATGGTTGGCATTAATGAGATAAAAACTGAATTTGGGGATTTTTTTTTTTAGTTTCTGTACACAATTTGTAGTTGCATAATACATTTTAGATGCATCAAGGGTGGTCTTCAGTGATACACTGTCCTCATCGCTGATTTCGAGTTTTGCATCATATCGTTTCAAACAGCAACTCCGACCTGACTCTGGACAAGTCAGGCTGCCTCCTTGAAAGTGTCATGCTATGCATCTCAACATTGCAAAAAGCACTCTGACATGGCTAGGAGTAGGACTGTTCTTATTAACATATGTCAGTATGTGTATTGTACATTGAAAAACAGGAAAAGAGGGATGTCAGAAATTAATGCAAGCATTTCAAGTAGAATAGGACTTTTATATCTATAATGTAAAGTACATTGTTAATTATTTCATTTTAAAAATATATGATAATTTTATTATAGCAAATGATTTTACGATGTATAATATAAATATATCACTAAGAATTTTACTGTCAAAAAGCACTGTAAATAAATTTACTATAGAAATGTAATAGAAAATCAGGAAGAGGGGGATTGTAAAGAGTTAGGAATTAATGAAAGAGCTACTGAATGATAGGGTTTTTATATGTATAATGTAAATGCATGACTAATAATTTTACTACAGAAATGTACAGAAAATCAGGAGGAAAGGGATTGTCAGTGGACAGGAATTCATGCAAATGTTACTGAGAGAACAGGGCTATTAAAAGTGGCAACTTGTTACAGGTGGAAGTGTTGGGTGGTGTAAATGATAACAGTTCAGGGGGAAAGAATCTGCAAAACAAGTTCAAATTAGATAGTTTCATGTTAATGCTCTTGGAAAAGCATGAACCTAACTCTCCTTGTAGCATTGCCCTTTTTTTTTTATTACAGCTAAACCACAATGATAAAGACAGAAAATAGAAAATGAATAAATGTACAGTCAATTTACTCTCTCCCATAATTATCTAATCTCTTTAAACAGTAAAATCAAAGTGGCTGTTATGTCCACTGTCTGTCTTGACAAGAATAATGATAAATATTTTGTCTTAGATAATTCTTAGATGTGCTTTTGCATCATAGAATAATTTCATTAAGTACTATGTATTGTTTCTACCTTAAATTCTGGGGTGAGTAGTTGTCACTGTTTACATTATTTACCTTCTGACTGTTATCCTCATCTTTGTTGTTATTATCACAATGTTTCAGCAACTGTGCCAAAAATTGACAGCATTATTCCTTCTGTATGAATTTCTTGGATGAGGAGTTATCACTATTTACATTATTTATACTCTGACTGTTAACCTCATCTTTGTTGTTATTATCTGGGATGAGGAGTTATCATTATATTATATTACATTCAGAATATTTTCCTCATCTTTGTTGCTGTTATTAGTAATTGTGAGTTCAATCGCTGGGCTATACAGCACAGACTTAGACTCAATGGAAACAGGGCGAACAATAACTGAGCAGTAGTAAATAAAGAACAAGACAAGATATCCCTAGCTAAATGACAATCTACCTTTGTCAAATAAATGGTTCAATTCAAAATTCCCTGAAGGTGACCCAGATCAACAGACACCTGATGAAGGCCAACGAGCACAACAGCTGAAATGTCATGATAATAACAACAAAGATGAGGACAATGGTCTGAGTGCAAATAAGGCAAATACTATGCATTGTCATAGTTTAAAACTTGATCCATTGTATTGTCTATAATCTTCAGAAGACTGATTATCAAAGTTTTTTTTTCTTTGGGGAGGAGGGAATTAACTCATTCTTTTTGTTATTTATGCTATATTCTACTGTTTCAACCAAAACATTGCATTCTTCAGATGTAGTGTCTATTTTTTTCACCCTGTACAAGACTCAAAAGACACTTTATTTAGAGAGTTAACGAGTAAAAGATACAGTTTATAGGAAGATAACAGTTAACTCTAGATTTAAGGCTAAGATTGTAGTAATCGGGGAAGCATCCTCTTAGGAGTCAGTTCCTCAAAGCAGCAATTCATAGGAATAAGCTGCTGGAGTGGAACTCATCAATGGAATATGAAGTATTACAGAGAAAGATGACTAACCTTTACTACATTAATGGTTGAACATAGACTTGTCTGCTCATAGGAGCAGGAGTTGTAAAGTAGGTTGTACACATTGCTGCACTGACTACAGCATTTTCCATTATTGTATTATTAATCCATGGGATTAAACAGTTTCTTCACTAATCTTTTGTTCCAGTGTTTTCCTTGGAAAATTATTGACGAGAACGATAAGCTTATATGAACATTACAATACAAAGACAATGAGGGTGAGATTTGCTACGATGTACATGGCATATAGAGTCTGCGCCACAAAGTTTAGAACTGGTGGAATTAAGAAATGTAGTTTGTTTGAATATGTTGCAGGGAAAAAGTAATCAAGTAGTGAGTGTTTTGAGATGTTCAGCCAGTGGGGAAAGGGGTCGCAGAGACACTTTTAGACTATCAAGACTGGAAAGTGAAAATTGGACAGCTCCTGCCAATATATGGCAGAAGTACTCTATTTTCAACCAGATCTGAATCTTGGAAAGGGAAAGGATAGCAGGAGACAGTCTTTTTATCCCCCGGTAGTGCAAGACAGAAAAAAAAAAAAAGAAACAATAACATACCATTCAATTTGCATGACCAGAAAAAGAGAAAAAAGAATTGATCAGATGAGACATTGGTGGTGGTGGGGGGGTATAAGTAACAAAAAGAATAAGCTCACTTATTGAAATTATTGAAGGATAGACTTTAATAAGGATATTTCAAATATATTTTAGACATTTTATGACCGTTATGATAGCTTCAGATAACAAACTGAAAGAATTTTCACACAAATCTGAAGGGACATTGGAATAGCAAAAGATACCTTCCCAAGGCTCGACAAAGTATTATGAAACAAGACACTTTCATTAGAAACTAAAAAAAGAAAAAAAAATGCTGAACTATATAATATCAGTCCTCCTATATGACAGTGAATGCTGGATAATCTCCTCACAGATGATAAAAAAACTTGAGGCAACAGAAATGTGGTTCTACAGAAGGATATTGAGAAAATGATGGAAGGAACATGCGAATAACAAGGACGTTTCAAGAAAACTGCAAACTAAAAAGATGCTCATATGTAGAATTGAAAAAAAGAAAGTATAAAGTTTGAGGACAAATAATGAGAAAAAGGACTTGGAGAATTTGATTCACACAAGACATACTGAAGACAAACGGGAGAGAAGAAGAAAGTAACCTATCTATCAAATAGATGGCAGAATAAGGAGTGGGAGGGATAGTGAAAAAGTAAACCTTACTAAAACCTACAAAGGATAGGATGTTGTGGAGAGTCATGATTGCCTATGTCCTGAAGGGACAGGGTGCAGAGATGAAGAAGTACAGGGTGCAATGGGTAAATCATCACTATTTTATATCTTTAATTTCATGCATGCCCATTATTTGTTTTTGATTTTTAGCAAGCATCAGCTGGGCACCATATCTGAGAATAAAAGAGCACCATGATGCAATTAACTCCGCCAGAAATTTGGAAACAGCATGCTGTACTTGGCATTCATACCAGAAGCTCCAATATGAACATTTCAGAGTGTTTGAGTGTCAATCTGAGAACAGTGCAGAGGATTCGGAAAGAGTTGGAGGAGTCTAATGGTATGGCAACTTGGAAAACTCACTCTGATAAGAAAAGAACCCTTGAATTTGTTGGTGAGATCTAGGCCATGATTGACAATGATTCCTTCAAGTCAATCAGGTCCATAACCAGGAACACAGGAGTGTCTGAGTTTCTTATCAGGCAGGTAGTGTATGAAGACATTTGTTATTTCTCATATGAGATGAGTAAGGACCAATTTTTATCCCAAGCCATGAAAGACAAGAGCAAAGACCATGCTGTGAAGCTTTTGCACAAACTGAAGCATCCCCTCCAACTGAACATGCTTTGGTTTTTCTTAAGTGAGAAAAATTTCTGCCAGGATAAGATGTGAACACACTGAACAACCATTGGCTTGTTGTGTCCCCAAAAGATGTAATGAGAGTGATGGAAACTAAATATCCAGTCAACATCATGGTATTTGGAGTGATTACTAGTGACGGTGACATTATGCCTTCATTCATCTTCCCACTGGGCCTCAGACTCAAGATGGAGGCCTACATCAAATACTTTGAGGAGGTAGTGCTGCCCTGGATCAAGAGGGTGACTGCTAGAAGACTCTATATCTAGTAACAGGACTCTGCACTATGCAAAGGCAGAAAAAACTCAGTCATGCGTGTCAGACAATTTGTGCAACACATCACCCCTTACATCCGGCCACCTTACTGCTCAGACTGCAACCCCCTTGTTTATTATGTATGGGGCACAGTTGAGCAAGAGACCAACAAAACTCTTTGTAACACCAAAGATGAACTGAAGGCAAGTATTATGGCAGCATTCACCAACTTAAACAAAGGGACCATCTGGAAGAGTTGCAAGATATCCCAAAGTTGTCTGGAGGCCATGGTTTAAGCCAATAGCAATTTTATTTAATAAATTTACTCTTTAGT